GCCTATGAGCCATTGTCGTCTGCCACATACTTCCAGTTTAAGGTAAAAGAGAGTTGAAATCTCAAGGATTGCTTAGTAATGGTGCCTGGTCCCAGATGAAAGGTTTTGGAATGGGGAAAATGTCAAGAAAACTAACGTATGAAGTTGCATCAGACACGGGCACATCGTTCATTGGTGGTCCAAAAAGTGAATTGGATAGGATTGCCAGCGCCGCTGGAGCTGAGGTTTGACACTACAGCGCTGCGCATATCATATTATCACTTGTTTTATTTAGTTCATCGATCAATATGAGCTTTACCATATTCCTTGCGACGCTAAGCCCCCGAGTCTCAACCTCTATATTGGATCCAACACGTATTCCATAAATGCTGCAAATTACATAGTTCAGGTAAGGTTTCACCAAGCAAGAGTACATGCGAAACTTATATGGTAGTTCTTTTATAGGCTGCTAACAACTTCTGTATACTTGCTGTATTCCCCTTCAACTTTGGAGGATATGGTCCTAGTTGGCTTCTCGGAGATCCATTCATTCGCCAGTACTGTAATATTCACGATATGGGACAAAAGAGAATAGGATTTGCAAAATCACTTTTTGAGTGACGTGTTGTACCAAAATTTGTTCAAAGTGATTTTGTATTTATTCTTTATTCACTGAGTAAACTGCATTTTTCAAACAATTCACTGTTCATTACAACTTATAACAAAAACTTGTTTTGGGAAAATCACTCATGATATTTAGAGGTATATAAGTCATTGTTGAAAGGTTACGAATGCGCCACATAACTGCCAAACAAAAAATCCAATGAATGTGAAACATTCTTAATTGATAACTAGTCTGGAGAGGCGAAAGTCGCTGCCTTTCACATCTGCCCAGTCTTACTAATAATTTTATTCTTGCTGACAAGTGTATCAAACATACATAATGGTAAACTTGATGGGAACACTTTTGGCAAGCACGATGAGATGGAATTTGAGTTTAGATCCAAGATCAGAACATGTTTTTTAAGCTGGCTGTCGAATATTA